GAATCAGAACTAGGAATTGAGGATGCAGATGCACGACTTCAGATCGATCAGGTCGTTTTAAGAATGCTACGAGAAAATCTATGAGAGAACCAGACTTCAAAACCTCAGTCACCCACTCTGACATCCTAAAACATCCAAAATGATCCTCAATCATCCCAAATTTTCATCAATTGTCAATCATCAATGCATTCCCATTATAAGGGACGTTGGGCCCGGTTCCCAGCACATGATGCTCCCCACAAATAGATTGGAGCCTAGGCTACCAGCCGGGCCGCCCGGGTCCCGGGTGGCCAGCCCGTGCAAGGACCAAGAAAGGTCCCAGCAAAAAAAATAAAAAATAAAATAATTCCAAAAAATCGGAAAAAAAAAATGTGATGCAGAAAAATAAACTGAACAACTTTTGCCTCAGGGTCAGATCGAAATTCTTCACCAAATTTAAAATAAAATATAATTAAAAAAAAAAAAAAAAAGAAGACAGAAAAAGCATTCAATATACAAGGAATCGTCAAACTTAAACCTTACGAATTTACGAAAAAGTTACGATCTTTATGGAGATTTTTCAATTTTTGCAGAAAATTCCGGCGAGGCGGCCTTCTAAGCGTGTTACCCCAGCCAACTCTTATGACGTCATATCCAACACGTCCCTTCCCCCTCCAAACCTCAACTGCCCCCCCATAGGCTTGAGGCATCTCCACCTCTTCATGGTCCCCCCCAACCGTCTTAGCATAAGGTCGAACGACGAAGATCTTTGGACCGTGACCGCAGCTCACCGTCACCGGGGAATCGCACCAATTGAAGGTAACTTTGTCTTATGAAACCCGTTTGGAAAAGCAAAGCAAAAAAACACAAAAATGATTTGGGCGCGAAGCTGTATGAAAAACAGTTGCTGGAAAGGAAAACCACTCAAACGATTTAGTTTCAAAAAGGCGTCTGCCGGACAAAATTCCACAGGTCGTATCACCCTTTTCCATAAATTTGACGCATACTGTTGATAGCTTTGTTATGTTTCCAGAAAAAAAGGATTTTGTTTTTTGAATCCAGAAACCAGTACTACTCAAGTGGCTATACATACCAACTTTTTCACAGATCTCTATGCTTTGATAGGAACTGGAAGTAGATTTCAAAACAAAAACTGAATCGGAATTAATCGCCGGAGTAAAAGGATTCGAAACACAGCATGGTATAGACAATTTAGAGTTAGGTTTCATAAAAGGATAAATAAGCTCAAATTAGTTAAACGCAAGTCAACTTTGGAGACTTCTGGAGACTTCCATTACTCCACACACCGTTCTGAAATCTCCGCAAACGCGGCCTGTGTTTTACATATGATTTTCTTTAATTGTTGGCCTTCTAAGCGTGCTACGCCACCTAACTCTCATGAAGTCATATCCAATGCATCCCTTCCCCCTCCAAACCTCACCTTTCCCCGCATCGGCTCGAGGCATATCAACCGCTTCATGTTCACATTCAACCGTTTTAGCATAAGGTCGAACGACGAAGATCTTTGGAAACGTGACCACAGCTCACCGTCACCGGGGAATCGCGCTACATTGTCCACCAAAACTGTTGAGCCCGCGAACAGCCCATCACAGGTAGTCTCACTCGCGAGCGGAAGGGATGCCCAACTGTCCCTAACGCTATCCCACCGCCGTCGTAAGCTCCTGCCACTTGAAGAAGATGACGAGAGGTGAATCACGCAAACTGCCGGCATAGCTCCTCCCGATCAGCATGATGACAACCGTGATGAAAAAGCAACATGTCAACATGAAGGCGCGGCACAGCCATCTCCCTGAACGACGCAGGTGCAAGCAAACAATCATCACCCACATGGCTGCCAACGGAGAAGCAACAGGAATGCCCGTCACCCACCACCACCCACGCCTTGAAAACATGGTCTCCAGGACTATCGCCACCTCATCGCGGAGAAGGCAACGTAAAGGCAAGGCACAATAAACACCATCTCCCTCGACGACGCTGGCGTCCAACAAACAATCTTCTCCCACATGGCTGCCAACGAGAAGGAACAAAGACAAGGAGTGCCAATGCCGGCACTCTTGGTCACATCAATACTGTATCCAATGTCGCTCCTACTGTATGACGCTCAGCGCCTGGCCTGCTATACTCAGCCTATCTAGCCTATCTACGTTCAAGTAACTGGATCACACTGAAGTCGAAGACCAATGTACGTCACGTCAACACCAATGCCGACCACCAGCATACACCAGATATGTTCTCTGTCCTCCCCTCATCACCCCTTGATCGTCTCCTCATGCGCCTCCTACCCGAAGACCACCCTCGCCATCACCTGCATTGCGCCCCTGCAGCCCGGCTATGGCTGCTACGTGCCCGCTGCCTCAGCAGCGCCTCTCACCTCAGCGCCCGTGCACGCGTCCTGCCAGCAGGCAAATGCAGACGCTAGCGCAGCAACACAGCAGTGTGTCCGCATTGCCCGCCAAGGCCAGAATGCCTGCCTAGGGAGTGCACACTTTCCTTTATGGAACGTGTGTCCGCTGCTGGCTGGTCTGGCCAGGCGTCTGGGGGCTCAGTAGCTTGCCTCTGGCCCCAAGTGTCTGCGCCAGGCCCAGTTTCAGATACTGGCCTGAGCCTCATGCCGTTAGGCACGTCTAGGCAGCCACACAGCCTCCAAGTATTTGCGGCATTCTTATTGCTCGTGGCACATCTGTGAAGACAATGCTGCTTCCTCATTGGCCCGCAACCAGTCCGTGATGTGTCGGCTTCACGCAGCGTGTGCCCAGGGCGCAACCACCTGAGTATAGCGCAGCCCTTTGCTTCTGGAAAGAGCCTGGAGGCTCACGTTGCTCTGTAACCAACTGCCGTGCTGCAACTGTCTGAGTACCCACATGTGGAAAAATGTCGAAAACAGGCCTCACGTGGATATTCAGGCCCGCCTTGACTTAGGGCGTGCACGGGCTTGCTGGGGCCACAGCCCAGAACATTTGTATGTCTGATAAGGGCTCCACGAGGCTCATTCCTCGCACTACGCAAAAGAAGGAGAAAATGCAAAAGAAGAACAAGAACCAACGGGCCTAGCTCCGTACACGGCGTACATCCATGTGCTGTTGAAATACAGGTCCAAGTTTGAATCCAGATGCACTACAATGACCTAGGATCGGTCACTTCAATCATGATAGCTTTGAGGCCGTCACCCTTTCAAAAGAAAAACATGAAAAAAAGCCAAGAAGGGAATGAAATGGGGGGAGGAGGAGCAGAGTCACTCCCAAACGCCACCCCTTCCCTTGCTCCCCGTTCTCTCTGTCTGTTACATGCCCGGTTGGGCAATGAACAAAGAGCCAAGGATCCGCAAAGTGATGAAAAGGACAGAAATGGACAATGCGGTGTGAATGAAATCTCAACAAGCAATGTTCATCCTGATACATGCAAAACGGTAGTTTGTAGCACAGCGAGAGACTTGGATAGTACTGACATGACATCTCATGGTACGTCACACATGTAAGAAGAGGAGGGACACCAAACTGTCGGACACCGTAAAAGTGCAGAACAGAACAAGGACCGACCTTCCTCACACAATATCAGACAGCGCAGCGGAATGCTAGAATACCAATGATCAACCAATCAATGTCGAGGTGCAGACCCAACGTTCATCATCATCATAGCAGGGTGTGACAGGCCTGGCGCCATACACAGAAGAGTGCGCCAGGTCCCAACCATACACAGACGAAGAGAGGGAAGATCAGACGAAAGAGAAGAGGGGAGATGGGGGCGTAGCCAACACCAAGTCTTTGGTACAAGTTCCAAATAATCCCTCGTCGAATGTCTGAACCCCAATGTTGACTCTGGATCCAATGTCCTCAAGTCTCAAAGTCACAATCTCTCTCTCCCGTAGACTGCAGATACTGAGAAGTCTGGTAGCGAGAGGGTGAAGAAGAGATGGTGGACTTAGAAGAGGAAGAAGAAGAACTCTCTCTCTCTCTCTCTCCGTCTGGTACTAACCTGTGAAGTTGGCACCTTGATGCAGGTACCTCGAAGATGAAGCTGGAGCTATGGCACCACAGGTAAGTCTCCCTGGCCTTCACCAGGCATCTCTCTCTCCAACACTACTCTACTCCTACCAGCACCCAGCGTTGAAGACTACAGCTACAGCTACTAGCGCCCAGCGCTGAGGACTACTGCTAGTGCTAATGCTACCTCCTGCAGCGCTCCTCCAGAGTGCTGCTCACGAATCCTGAAGACTACTGACTGCCTTCTACCTGCCTGAACCGCACGTGAAGTGCTTGGCCAGTCCCTATGAACTACCTCCCTGTCTGTAGGGCGGGCCAGTCTTATATAGTGCTGGCCCGTCCAGGAGGCTGCTCTTGCCAATGCCCAAACGTGCTAGACCCTGAGGAAGCTTCCGGGAAGTTTCCAGGTAGCTTCTGGCTAAGGGTCTCGTTAGACACTCCTAAAAGTTCCTGTTTTGAGGATTGCGTCTTGGTTGCACGCAATCCTAAATCCATTTTCGAGATCGAAAATGTGAAAACGGGCGTTAGGACCAGTCCTAAAAGATTTAGGATTCCCCAGCCATTATCGTCCTAAAATTTCCAGTAGCCCCCGACCTACTGAAAAGTTTAGGATTCGCGCGTTTCACGGAGTCGTGGCGTCGCGCGCATTACACCGTCTTCTCGGAAGTGCTGGTGCAGAACCAGGCCGTCGGTCCAGAGGTCGGACATCGGAGGTATTCGGCGGGCCGACGGGCCCAACGGTCACCAACGGTAGCCGTTGGCAGGGGGAGGTGCACCGCGGTGGGGCGGGTGGGGGAGGGGGGGGGAACCGAGGGTAGGTGGGCTTCTGTAGTCGACCGTTGTATTCGTAGCTCGCAGCGGAGGAGGATGACGACGCTCGCAGGACGACAGTCGCACGCGCAGTCGGGCAGTGCGCGGGCCCCAACGGTCGACTTTCGAATTCACGGCGTCCACCTCTGTTGTGTTCTGTGGCGTTTGTCGAGATATGAAGGTCCCGCTAGTGCGTCGTTTGTGGACATGCCGGAGGGCAGTTGCGCAGTGTTGTGCTTGCGTGGTGCACCCGAAGGCGAGTTAGATGGCAGACGTGCTGCGTAGATTGCCTCTGCTGGTGCTGATCATTGTCGTCTTCCTGTTTGTCGTCTTCCTCCACGTCTGTTTGTCGTGTCGGCCGTGGAACTTGAGGGCACACAACGATGGTGTCGACGAGAATGGCGGTATTGGCGACGATGGCGACGATGGATTCAGGGAGGACGTCGAAGCCGTTGACGACGACGGCGATGCGCCTATTCGGCCTTTGGGGAAGGTGGGTGGGAGGGGGAGAGGACGCGACAGAGGTGGTGGTCGAGATCGATCCGCAGGGCGTGGCAGCAGAGTAGCCGATGGCGACGATGGCGGGAAATCAGCGGCGTATTGGTCCACAGACGATCAACTGCTCCTGGTGCGCTGCAAGCGGGAGCAGGACATGCACCTTGCCGGCCTTGGGCACAACTACGGTCGGATGCGAACGAAAGAATGGAAGTGGGAGGACATCGCGAAACGGAWGGCGAACGCGGGSTGTYCTAGAGAGGYYGATGASTGCATGAAGAAGTGGGACAATCTATTCCAGAACTACAAGAAGATACAGAGGTTCCAGAATGCCAGCGGCGAGGCAGATTTCTTTAGGCTGTCAAATGAAGAGAGGAAGGACCACAATTTCAAGTTTCGGATGGAGAGAGCGCTCTACAACGAGATCCATGGAGGCATGCTTGGAAACCACACCATTTTCCCTCCCAACATCGCAGACACAGGTAATTCGGACGGCGTGCAGCTGCCGAGACGAGGAGCGGGCGGCGGGGAGTCTGTCAATAGTGAGGCGGCCGGTGATGGGTGGGCGGAAGAACGTTCTTCGCCGAGGGAGTCCGACAACAATGTAGGCAGCGGGGGCCCGAAGCATGAAGCGGAAGAACACGCGACAGCAGGCGCTGGAGTCCATCGTCGACGTCATGGATCGGCACGGCGCGCTGATGTCCTCGACGATGGAGTCCTTTAGCAAGCGACAATGCAGCGTTTTGACGAGGCAATGCGACATCCTGGAGCAGGAAGTTGCAGTTCAAAAAGAGCACTACGCGGCGTCCGATGAAACGCAAAAGATGATGTGCCACGCCTTGATGGAGATCGCTGCCGACATCCGTGGTCGCTCTACGATGTAAGCCGTCGGATCGTCGATGCGATGATGTTCATTCGTTGTCATCATCATCGCCAGATTGGAGCATAACGGTCGTCAGAGATTGTAGCAATGTCGCCGGCGGTAGCTGAGGGTGGTTTGATGGCGAAGTGTAGTGATGTAGCCCGTTTTCGAGACCGCTGTCCATGTATAGCCGTCCACGTCACAGATGACCTTTGTGGTGGCGAAGTGTAGTGTCAGCGATTTGTTTTCCTTTTTTATTTGTATTTTTTTGTTTCCCCATTTATCGGGGTTTGATGTCTTTGCTGAGGATGCAGTTGAAGGTTTTCGGGGAGGGCTGCTGCGAAAGGCATGCGTTGTTGCAAGGCGAGCCGTCGTGGGGGATCGCCGCAGATAGCAACAGAGTCGGGCTGTACTAGGCGTCGGGTCGGTCCATGCATGGTGGATCACATGGGGAGGGTTGTTGTTGGGTTGGTTGGGTGTATAGAATTCCGCCGGAATCAGCAGGAATTTAATATTGTCTTTAAAAAAATAAAAGGATGCTTCTCTGAATAAGGGCTTGGGGGTTTGGGGGGGGGGGGGGGGGGGGCGGGGGGGGGGGTGGGGGTAAAGATTGGTGTTTTTTTTTCGGGGGTTTGGGTGGGCATTGCCATGGTGCGCGGACACATTATTTAACCCAGCCCGCGAAGGCTAACCGCAGTCTGCACAGTGTGTCGTCGATCACTCCCGCCAAATTCGTGCCACCTAAGTCCGCTAATGCCAGTCCCTCCGCAGTGGTGCAGAAGCTGCGCTGTAGATAAGGCCCACTGGTGCACGTCGCCTGCTCTGCGCGCGTCGTCGTCATCAGAGAACTCTTTGCCATCGCCACGACATGTCGTTTTTCGGAAGCGGCACAACCGTCTGCGCTCTCGTCCACCGCGCCTTCGATCGTCAGTTGTCGTTGTTGAGTCGCGTTCGTCTTTTCGCGTCAAGCAGCCAGTGCTTGGATCCACCACGTGGACGTCGACCGTGGAGTTTAACAACTTATATCCATCGATGTGCCCTTGTGCGGCATTTGACGGACGACGGGGCATCTTCCCGCTTCAGCTTTTGCGGTGGCAAAATGGCTCCGAGGCGAGGAGGCGGCGGTCAAGCTCGTGGAAAAAAACGTGATGCGGTCACTGAACAGACGGCGGGCGGTTCAGGTGGGGGACGTCAGATGACGAGGACGAAACGGTCACGTCAGGACGCGAGTTCTCTCAGCGGCGCACACTTGGACAGCGACGGTTGGGGAAGACCAAACGACGGCGAAGGCCACAACGAGACAGGATACCCCGCTATGGAGGAGGTGGCGCGAATGGAGCAAGAGCAGATCACACCTGTTACGACGCCGCAAGGGAGACATCGCGAAGATGCAGGAACCGGGACATCTGCGGCGACGCCACGTGTGCAAACAAGCAGTCGGCGAACGAGGATCTGGCGGTGCGGCGACGTCACGTGTACAACAAGCAGTCGGCGAGCGAGGATCTGTCGGTGCGGGAGATGCGACCATGCTTGGAGATCAGGTGCAGGTTCGCGGCGCCGCTGCGGTCGTGGGCGAAGCGGCGGGCACACCTCGTGAAACGGGAGGAGGGGGGCGGAAGGCCGAGGAGGCGGCGAGGACATTGGAGATCCCCCGCGCGGAGAAGAGAAAGGCGGTGGAGGACGACGAGCCGCTTGTTAACAGGGTCCTCAAAGGTGGAGTGGTGAAAGAACTGGCTGATCGGGCGAAACTATGGGTGGACGACAAGTCTTTCTGGATGTCGGGGGAGGGCCGCAGGCTGTACAACATAGTGAACGACGCACGGGAGTACCTCGTCGCCATTGCCCGAGGAGTTCCTTTGCCGAAGGTCCCCAGAAGTGTAGCCTTGCGGAGGTCGAACGTCACGGTGACGAGGCTCACTGATTCCACGCAGTTGCAGCGGGCGACTAATCGCGCGTCGAAGTGCCAGAACGTGGTGATGCGTGTTCTGCACGGATGGGTCTTCAAGTCCGGAAGCAGGGAGAGGGGGTACACTCTCGCCTTCCAGTACCTCCTCGAATCGGTGGCCACGGACTTCGCGTGCGCGATGTGGCTCGGAGAGGACTGGAGCAACGTCATTAGCCCCGCCATTTGCGCACAGAGCTCGGGATGGACCTGCCTCTGTGGTACGCAGGTGCTTACATCGAAGACAGGCCCCGGGACGATGACATGGCTGCTTACCTGGAAGCGACTGTCATGCGACTGATTGCTGCGTTCAACGCGGCGGTAGAAATAGGGAATGCGATGGATGGAGGATGCACAAGTCAGGACCGTTTGTCCCGTGTTGCGGAGAGCTTGAAGGTCCTCTTGGCGGCTGCCATGTGGATAATGCGATTGGCGGGAGACGATCCGAGGTCCCACTATGAAGCTTTCTACTTATGCAACCTCATCGCGAAGCCCGTTATGGTGGCGTCCATGCGCCGCATCTTCGATCATCGTCGCCACACCTTGGCCGCCGCGAACGCCGCAACCGAGCGACTGGGGAAAGCGCAGTTGACGTTGGGTCACGCGCCCAATTTCATCCCGGACTGGGCTAAGTGCGGGGTGAGATTCGGCCATGACGCGAGTTTGAGTGGACCCGACGAGGCGAGAGGTCTTGAACGGTTGGGCACAGGCCCTCCGGCGTGCGAGGACGACGACGACGACGATGATGATGCCGAAGACAGCTGAACGCCACCCGGGAGGAGGAGGAGGACGACGACGACGACGATGGTGTGTGTCGACAGGGGGTGGGGCTTTCGTAGCAGCCTAGACACCGAGGCCTCATCACGCGGTGATAACGGCGAAGGTGTCGTGCAATCATGACGGGGACGATAGCGACGCGTGCTGATGCCGCCATGGGGACGTCGGTTTGGGCGAGTACGGTACGACCTTGGCGCGCGACAAAGGGAGACCTTGAAGAGAAGAACAGCGCACGTCAAGTACATGTGCAGGCAGTCTGCGGAAGAGGATGCCCACGCGTGATGATGCCCCATTCGACGACGCTCCCCACACAACGATGGCCACGTTGCTACGGAAGAGGGTGCTGACGGTGATGATGATGACCACGTTGATGATGACGACGATGACGACGATGATGATGATGATGATGGCGACGATGATGATGATGATGACGACCACGATGATGATGATGGTGATGATGGCGTCAATGGTGATTGTGATGATGATGATGATGATGATGATGATGATGATGACGACGATGATGATGATGTTGATGATGATGATGATGATGATGATGATGATGATGATGATGACCACGACGATGATGATAACCTGTCGGAGGTGGTGCGGGCAAGGTACTTCTTTGTGTTTGTTTTCGGTCGAGCAGGGCGCCGCTCGACGTTGTAAATACAGTGGACTCGGAAGTGCGATCGGTTCAGCAGGGGTCTTTTCGTGTTGTTGCAGATATCTGCTTCTGCTTGTCGTTTTTTTTTTTTTTTTTGCAAGGCGACCTCTGTTTGCGCGATGGCGGGTGTTGTTGCAGATATCTGCTTCTGCTTGTCGTTTTTTTTTTTTTTTTTTTTTTTTTAAGTCGACATCTGTTCGCGCGATGGTGGATGGCGTGCTTTGGTTTAGCAGGGGTCTTTGCGAGAGTCATGTATTCCGCAATTTGCGGTGCACGTTCAATCTTTCGACGTTGTCTTCGTGATCGTTCGCGGAAGAACACCATTCACAAGCGACATTATTCAAATCTGTGTTCTTTGTTTCTACGATCCATTTTAAACGCATTGTCTTTTTTTCACAAATGGGTTGTGTTTTGTTTCCCATCATTCATGTTATGCGGCTTTTGCATGTATTTCATTCTATCCCGTTTCCGTTGGTTTCCAATTGCATCTACATCAAAGGAAAGCCAAATCGCCGTTTTTTTTTTTTTTTTTTTTTTTTTTTAACGCCGTCCAAACATACCATTACGCTCGCTTCACAAAACATGACGTTGGAGAAGAACAGTTTGGCCATGCAATCTGTTTGCTTGAGAATTATGACGTAGAAGATGAACAACATGGACATGCAATCTGTTTGCCTGCATTGTTAGCAATTCCACAGGTTTGAGAAGTGCACCGAATGTGTGTCAGTCATCGACAAACCTCAAACAATTGAAGATTGTTCGAACAGAGGTTCACAGAACGACAAAAAAGAACAAAATCGACATCGTAAAAAAAAGGTTGTCCATATATTAAAACGTCGAACAACTGCACGAAGCACACCAAAAAGACAACGCAGTGCTACACAACCGAGTGGTCTCCCCACCGTCGAAACTTCCAAAACGACTGACGCCTATAATGCCGACTACCAGGCGGCGTTATAGGCTACAACGCGACTTCGCGCGCGACATCAACTCAATGGCGGCCAACAAACCGACACACGGGAGGGGAGGGGAACGCAAGTGGGGCGACCACGCTAAACATCCCAGAGCTTCAGAAACAGAACAAAAACGCAGCAGTGCTCTACACGGACCACGTCACAAGCTAAACCCCCCCCAACCCCCCCCTCCCGCCCCCTTCGTCTAATCCGACCATCCCCTTGTTCCTCTGCGTGCATCTACATCAAAGCCAGGCGGTCTCGAAGTGCATCCCGCAACAAGTCGCCGTCGACGTTGGTGCACTGCCGCCGCCCACCACCGCCGTTCCCCACAATGCCCAAGTCGACTCTCCGCCGAACGCCGTTCTCATCAACCTCCCATAGGAGGTTCTCGTCGAAATCGACACCCGCGTCCAGGAGGATGTTGTGGAGAGTGCAGACGGCCACGAATTGTTGTGGCAAGGTCTGAAGGTTCGTCTTGTGGGTGCGCGGAAAGAGACGCCACATAAACTTCAGTCGCCCAAACGCCCTCTCCACACACACCCGCGCCACCTTCTACCGCGTGTCAAAACGCTCTTCGTCCGGATCCTAGAAGATTCCTCCATACGGTTGGATGATCCATGGACACGCAACTGGGTAGCCGTTGTCGCCCAGCAGGTAACCTCGCGTAACCACACCGTGTGGGAGATTCTCCGGAGGTGCATCGAAAAGGTTGCCGCTTTCCGCATGCCTCCACAGATGGGAATTGTGCAGTACACGGACGTCGTGGACACTTCTTGGATATCCGACGTGGACGTCCAGGATACACAAATCTAAATCGACGACGACCTGCGCTTGGACGGAGAACTTCTGTTTGCGGTCGTAGTAGTTGACGGACGGTGCTCCTGCTGGCTTGTCAATGTAGATATGGGTGCAATCGATGGCGCCGAAGCAGTTCGGGAAACCCTTATCTCGGAACACGCGTAAAATCTGCGCACGTCTACGCCCAACAGGCCACTTGATTGCGTCGGGGTAGGCGTTTAGCAGCGCCGCCGTGACGTCGTGGACGGCCTACAGGCTGGTCGCCCTGCCGATACCGAAGGCTGACGTCCCGCTCTCGTGCGTTTTCCCCGACGCCCATCTGTACAACGTGAAAGTGATCACCTGCTCGACTGGCAGCGACATCCTGTAGTGCGTGACAATCTTCTCCACGTGCGCGGCGCAGGCGGCTACAATCTGGTTGAACATCGCCCTCGACATACGCAACTTCTCCTTGTAGTAGTCCTCTGTGGCGTCGTCACACAGCCGTAGGTCCTCCCATATCCCGCCAGTGCGTCGTTTGATCCACCAACACGGTGTCTGGCGTGGGAAAACGTCAGAGTCGAAAGCGAAACACATCTGCACTACAGCTTCGCACGTCGCCACTCAATCCGGCGCTTCCACAACGCTCTGCAAGAGCGCTCTCCGTTTACGAAGCTGCAAACGCATGTCGCCGCTGGAGGACGAAATTTCGCTCATGCTATTCAAGACGACAATTGTCATGGCCATCGCCACAGCTTCTCTCTCCTCTTCACGCAGACCGTCGCCGCGTCCGCGAACGTCCATCTTCGTTCAACGCCCACTTCGTCGAAAGCCTGCCAAACACTTTGCTCGCTGGACCGGCCAAAGGCGCCACGTGCCCAACTATGCCACAATGCGCCACGCGTCAGGGACCAAAAGATGTGGTCGCTGCTCCGCGATGAGGAACGACACCACGCACACGTCTCCCGAGCACGTCGCTGCTGCTCGCCGCCGCCACAGGAGAATAGGCACGCCCGAGCCGACCGAAAAGGACGCTGCTCTCCACGTTACCACTTCAAGAGTACGCCCGTCGTACACGAAGCTGCGCCTGCTGGTGCTCGTCGACGGATGAAACCGCGCACGCCAATGGTCGACGATGGTGGAACACAACACGGAAGCCCGACGTCAATATGCGCACGGTCGCGGATAACGGAGGAAGATAGCCCAGCGGAGGAGGAGGACAGACAACCTGCGCCGCCGCCCGACATGCGCCTGCTTGCTCACCACTCGCACAACCTTATGAATACTCTCGCCGAAAGGTTCGCCAACGCCGTCTTTCGGACGTCTTTCGTCGCCTACCAGTCCTGCGGCAGCAAGAACCGACCCCCCCCCCCCCCCCCCCCCCCCCCCMSCCCYCCCCYCCSYSMGAATTTGAATTCAAATTTTCGAACTGTACGAAACACGCGCTTCCCGCCGAAGACACTCGCACGCCGACGGCCTACCGCGCTGTGTACCACGGACACCACCCTACGAGCGGACGGACATCAACGACGCGGCCGCGTATACGCATATAAAACGGGCCGCGGGACAACTTTTAGGACGAGTCCTAAAAGACGATTTTTAGGATCGTGTGCAACCACTCCGCATGAAATCCTAAAAAACCTTTAGGACTAGTCCAAAAAAATTTAGTATTCTTTTAGGAGTGTCTAACGAGACCCTAAAGCCTGAGGAAGCTTCCGGGAAGTTCCCAGGTAGCTTCTGGCTAAAGCCTGAGGGCCTATAGGCCCTTGTTTTCAGGCTGTCAGGCTGAAACGACACGGGGCCTGGAGGCCCTGGTTTTCAGGCTGTCAGGCTGAAACAGACACGGGGCGTGTAGGCCCTGGTTTTCAGGCTGTCAGGCTGAAACAGACACGGGGCGTTTAGGCCCTGGTTTTCAACTGTGCACTCATCTGGAAGATCTGTATAGCATAAAGCACAGGCGCACGACCACAGGTCATTGGGCCAGGGTCTGAAGACGCCATGTGCGGCTGATACATAAGGACAAATCGGGGGGTCAGCAAACTGAGGATTGCAGATACACCTAGATAACGGCGAAGGAAGGAAAGGGAAACGTACGCAGGAAGGCGGGAAATTCCAAGCAGCCGGTACACAGAACAGCAGCAATCGGCCCGCATAGCCGAATCTCTCCACCGAATGCAGAGCATCAAGCACAGCCTTGTCCAACGTGAGGTGATGCAATAGGGACAAAATAGCTGACGGTCCTGAGGGTGCTTTTTTTGCAGCGACGTGGACCTCATAATTTTCTTTTTTGCATATTAATGTTGGCTTATCSAGTTATTCAAGATTTTTTCAGTTCTTTGCAGAATATGACCTGAATCTGCGAGAGAATCGCGGGAAACAGGTCTGAAACGTTTTTTCGGTTTTCGGTATTCGRCACTACATGGTTGAAGTAGAATAGAATAGTATRYAACGAAGCACCGAGGGAGAACTCGGTAAGCAGTYTGAGTGAGACARGAGTAGAAGGGCTGTTGAAGCGCAGTACAGTTGCGCTTGCTACAATGTAATTTGTTTCACGATACGTAAAGCTCCAAGTTACATTGTTTTTACGATCTCTCGTACTGAACCAGAGGAACGACCTTGCAATTAAGCTTGGGAACGGTCCTCCGGTGCCATCTATGAAATCGTGAAGCAGGGATTTCGATCGCTGTTCATGAACAATCCATGGACGTGCGTTCACTCTATATTGTTGATTAATCAATCTACTAATTAAATATTTTTTGATATTACGATATATATTTATTTATTCACTCATTCATTTCTCGGTCGAGATTGCATCGATTGCACTCACGGTAGTGACAAGGGTGGCTATTGCGATTGCTCGGCGGAACGATTGGCGCGAGACTGGTGCTGAAGTTCTGCTACCTCAGGCTGTTATCAAGGTCGAAGGGAGCGCATGTACGGACGCGGAAGAGGAAGAGGGCGGTGGTCAGGCTGCAGACGCTACTGGATGGAGATTCCTGCAGGAATGCAAACTCCACCGACGCAAGTCGCAACAATAGCAACACAGGCCACACATCCTCATGACGCTACTCCATCATCAGCTATCGTATGGCACCTCCGATGGTGCATCCGATGGCGCAGCCAACACCTGTACCGTTCTATCAGCCGGGATACTATCCACCCCCATACGGGTGGCAAGGTGGATGGAATCAAGCGGGCGCGGCACGCCCCCCGTCGGCAAACAAGTTCCCGGAACCACGAAACCGAGCCTGGTTCACCAAGGAACACCTCGAGCTGATAGAGAAATGGAAGGCGCGCGCAGCAAGTGACGAGAGTCGAAAGAGCGAGAAGGGTGAATCGAGTGGAGGCAGCAACTCTAAAGGCAACAAGAAAGGAAGAGGGAGTACGGAATCGGAAAACAGCGAGGAGCGACTGAAGTCGTGGATCTCCAGCACATTCGGGACATCACTAAGGAAGATCTCCGAAAAGCTGGAAGAGATCGAGGTGAAGACCAAGGCGAAAGGGAAGGCCGAAGAATCAGACGAAGAGGGAGATAGTAAGAAGGGGACGGGAAGCCACGAAAAAAGAAAGAGAGGAGTAAACTCCCCAGCACTGAGCAAGGCGAAGGTACGATCAAGGACTCGTAACGGGAGAGACACAGTGATAGTGCGGCAACCCAGAATCAACATTTCCTCGGATGATGAAGACGCGAAGACCAAGGTCCGCACAAATTGCGGCATCGACGTCAAACACGAGTTCGAGGCGAACGGGGGAAATGATAAGTTAGATGAGATCCTGACCCTGCTAGGAGCACTAGCAGGGAAAGGAAAAGAGGAGGTGCAGAAAGGTGAAGGCGGAAAGATGGAAGGGGTAAGCGAGAGGGAGGAGAGAAATAAAAAAAGCGAGAAAGCAAAGAAAGGGAAAGGAAAGGATGGGTCCGAAAACGATGAAAAAAGTGACGCAAAGAGATCAATTACCGGAGAGGAAACAGAAGGGAAACAAAAAGAAGGGGATGTCATCGAGTACATGAAAGGGAGGTTGGATTACTATATGGAAATGAACGTGAAGGAAGTGAAGGCCTTGTGTGTGAAGCGGGGTGTGAAGAACGCTCGGAAGGACAAATGAGCATGGGAGCTGGCAAAACAAGACGCGGAACAGTATACGAAGTTGGTGAACCAAGAAGACGAGGGTTATTCTGAAGGATCCGAGGACGACGACCAGGAGAACGAAGTGAGCAGCGAGCAATCGGCCGATGAGGACTCCAATGGCGTCACGGGAAATTGAATTTTCCCTCAAAACGAGCATGGCAGCGTGTGATGAGGAGAATAAGTAGCCTACTTGCAAGGGCCGAATTCCGAAATCGTGGTCTGGTGGATCTCAGGATAGAGATGGAGAAGATCTTTAGACTAGGCGTAATTTGGGGTTGTGTCCTGGGATTCATGCGTTGGGGTAGGAACTACGTGAAGTACTGGTCTGCCAAGTGCATAGACGACCTGGGGTTATTACTAGAAGGCGAATCATGCGTGTATGTCATGATCTCGCCATTCTTTAGATCTACTTACGTCGGGCAGACCAGACGGAAAATTGAGGAGAGATGGGCGGAGCGTCGGAGAGATGCAAAAAATACACGGTTTAAAGTGCACAAATGGCTGGGGAAGAAGGGAGTGGAGAACTACACGATGATCCCGTTATGGTTCGGGCACAAGGATTATTTAAAATGTATGGAAAGCACTGTAATCAAACAGGAAAATCCTGGTCTGAATATGCGGAAACAGAATCAGCGAGGGAAACCATGAAGATCGAGAAAGAAGGACAATAAATTTACCCCTGTGGGAAACACTTTGTTTTTCGGCTCCTGGTGTTGGGATAGATAGGACGATCAATCTCGTTAAAATTCTCAATGCCGCAAAAGGAAAAAGTCGCCCTGTTAGAATCTGCAATAAATCTGCAAAAAGATGGGGGAAGACTTGGCGAGTGGTAAAAATGATCTTTGGCTCTTGCAAAATCTGTATCAATGGTAGGAAACTGTTACTAAAAGACGCAAAGATGGAGATTGAGAAAGGTGGAGAATGGGTTGTCGAAGAGGTGGTAAAAACAAGAACGAATGCAGACAGGCGTAAATCAGAGATCATCACACTATTAAGGGCTCCGTGGAAAAGGAAAGAACTTGTGAATAAGGAAACTACCGAGCAATTTGCCATGCTGAAAAGTTTGAGGGAAGTCAATAATAAGAATGGGAGACAGATATTACGTTGTGTTTTATCCAAAGAGCTCAAAAAAAGAATTGGTATCAATCCGAGAATCCGGTTGGCTGTAAAAATTCCATTTAGCGACAATGTAAATAAGAAAGAAGTCAGAGATGGGGTTTGCTCATGGTTGGAGGAAAAGATTAAACCAGCGGAACTCAGTGACCTGATGCAGAAGAAACTCCGGGTGGTTTGGAATAAGTCTAAATCGGTCGGAGATTTATTGCATAATCACAAACACATAGCTAAGTCAGAAGGCACTTGTGTTTGCGATGAATTTGACTTGCCGAAAGAAAATGGGCATGTCCGGGTTCGATTGAGTGACATACTTGGGATTCATCCCTTCCTCCATAATTCCAGAAACGTCCCCACCCCCGGAAGAGTATGTAGCCTAAATGATATTAAGGGAGCATGTGAAACAGCAGTGCAACCGTTAAAGAAAGCAGGTCTTATCGGATGGCACGAGAATGTACCAGTAAAACCTATGAAACTGAGTGCAGGAAAGAACACGGCAAAAGAATGTATCCAGACAGAATACGTGAACAGAGTAAAAATCGCTTTGCATGGGCTTGTCCTCTCACCCCTTGACCAAAATCCTGGTGGCACATTGGTTGAATGCCCCTGGCAATATAGTCAAGGGATGAAGAAGACATTTAACTCCAGCAACAACTACCAAAAGATGGAAGTGGGGGAAGCAGAAATTCTGAAAAAAATGAAGGAAGAGTTTCGGAAACGAAACTGAGCAGAATTGCAAACTGGAATCAGGACGGTCGAATCCAACACTCCTTCATTATGAGCAAGAACAAAGATTTGGACAAAAAGCGACCAATATGTCCCTCATATCAAAGCCCCACGAGATCTGCATGTAAAGCATTGACTCAAGCATTGAATTTAATGATCGAAAAAACAAGGAAAGATCATTTTAACATGAGAGCTACAAAAGACCTGAAATCGGAGATGGAAAGAATTAACAAGAAAGCAGAAAGATTGGGACCGACAACAGGGATTATGTGTCGGACATATGGCATAAAAGAAATGTTCACAATGATACCTCACAGAGAAGTGAAAGACGCGGTCCATTGGATTATGAGTGAATTCAGAGAAAAGGGACGACATTGGGTAAGGATAAAAGTGCGTGGAAAAGGAGCGAAATTCAACAAATCTTCTGGAGACAGAGGTTGGAAATCAATAAGATATCAGATCTGGAAAATCTGGTGGGCTTCGTCCTAGACCACGTATTTTTCAAATCTATGGATCAAATTTTACGGCAACATACGGGCATTCCTATGGGGGGACATGCAAGCCCCTCATTAGCATGCCTTGTGCGCATGTACGCCGAGTACAAGTTATGAGATCTCTGGGAAAAGAAGCGAAATTTATCAGCGGAAAAAGATTCATTGATGACCTGCTGCTGGTCACTTGGTACGCAGGCGAAAGAGGAAAGGAGGCAGCAAATAAAAGATTGGACAAAATAAGTGAATGTTATCACAAAAAATTGGTGTTGCAACGAACTGATGATGGCAATAACATCACCGATTTTCTTGAAACAACGATAATGGTCACAGAGGGACCGTGCAGAATCATATGCACACATAAATTTAAAAACTTTGACAGCATATGGAAACTGGAATCTGCAAAAATCTTTACAACCAGGCGATTCGATTCATTTGGTTCTGAAGAACAGAAGATGGCTTTCATAGTTGGGACGATTCATAGGATAAGCATGAACACTTCTGAACCAGGAACACTGGTATTGAGCATGTTCACATTGCACAGGGAACTAAAAATGCTGGGATTCCCTAGCCACATGATTACAGATGGAGTGAGAAAAGTGGCGAGGAGGGTGGGAGGGAGAATATGGCCTCAACTGTGCACTCACCTGGAAGATCTGTATAGCATAAAGCACAGGCGCACGGCCACAGGTCATTGGGCCAGGGTCTGAAGACGCCATGTGCGGCTGATACATAAGGACAAATCAGGGGGTCAGCAAACTGAGGATTGCAGATACACCCAGATCACGGCGAAGGAAGGAAAGGGAAACGTACGCAGGAAGGCGGGAAATTCCAAGCAGTCGGTACGCAGAACAGCAGCAATCGGCCCGCAGAGCCGAATCTCTCCACCGAATGCAGAGCATCAAGCACAGCCTTGTCCAATGTGAGGCGATGCAATAGGGACAAAATAGCTGACGGTCCTGAGGGTGCTTTTTTTGCAGCGACGTGGACCTCATAATTTTCTTTTTTGCATATTAATGTTGGC